GCGCTGACAACAACGGAGCATTTTGTATGTTGCATTGTTGATTTGCGTATCAAAATATCACAGCTGATGAATCCAATAAATCACCTGTAAAACGAGACATGAGTGACTGAGTGAAGCTCAGCCGTATGCGTCCGAAATGTTATGGATTACAAACCACAGTCGCTACGATTGACTTCTACAAACCTACAGTCTGGCCTGGAAACCGGTTTTGATAAACACAATGTAATCTAATGTTGTATAACGTTACACAGTTCTTATAGGTTGTCTGAAAACTCTTCTACAGTACATGGCCGTCTTTGGGCTCGTCAGATAGGCGCAACCTCCTAGTGTTCCCCAACCGTATGTTGTAAACTTGGACCAAAATTGTACTTATCTGCATACCAATTTGGTCTTTGACGGGAGAACTCGCTTAGAATATTCTCTTCAACTGAGTGTGCAGCTAAAATAAGAGACGGTGTCATGCAGCACGTTCATTTGAAGGACATTATAGACGAGAGTTTCAGTTGAAGGAGATCAACTGTGATGAAAAGTCAACTGATGGAAAAACCTCACCAGACTAGCGAAATGCACTCAACTGCCAACACTTAGGCTTTAGGGGGCCAACTGAATCTCCCATCTATAAGGTCATTCAAATGAAAGTGCTGCTGCTGGTTTGAAGAGCAGGGAAAGCAGTGGCAACGATCACGCAAACTAAAGAATCTCACTCGATATCCGTGCTTTCAAATAGGATTCAACTGGAGAATCAAATAAAACAACTCCTGAACTCAACAACTCCGATAGCGTAAATTTTTCTCACGCGACAGTTTTTGTGGTGTTACCGAGTTTTAGCCTTAATTAAAACGTATAGTTGGCTTATCCGAACACGCAATGAAATGTTTGACGTTGAATAGAATGTGCATACCTTTGGGTTAGTATATACAGGGTGTCTCATAATAAACGAAAAAAATAATACCCAGAGTAAAACTTTGACACTAAACTAAACATTTATTGTTACTTGTGTAAACATGCACACACTATGGAGGTCTACTGTACATGAACTGGCATTACAAAAAATTTTGAAAGAAACTGTCTCTTCTGTGGCAAGTTCGAGACGGTATGAGATGTGAGATCCAGCATGTTTAACTTCTTCAAGCGTCACCCATGCACACTCCTCTTCAATTATTGCTCTTAACTCCACCAAGGTGGCGTCTCATAATACGATGCACGCTGGCGCGGGGAATGCCGGTCAACTGAGACACCTGAGTTACTGACGAAGATGCCATGGTGCTCTGGGACTGAAGCTGCTCGACGGCATTCTGTACAATGGGCGCTCTTTCATTACTCAGAGACTTTCTTCCTTTGCCGGCAGAATCCAATACAGATTCAGTAGACTCAAACTGCACAATCAAGCGTGTAATGGTCGACCCTGTGAAGGGATATTTAACGAGACCATGTTTGATTTGGTAACCACGAAGTGCAGCGGTGGCGCTTTCACCAATGAAATAATAGAGTTTCACAATTTTAATGCGCGTACTAACATTCCGCGTACTAACATGCCAACACCTGCACACAATACTTTATTTATGCAGCTACTAATAAATAAAAATTTTGTTATCCTTCCTTCGAATGACTACGTTTGCGTTTGAGACACTGTACATCAGCTCTGTCTGGGTTTCCTCACTACCCGACAGGGTACCACGGAATCAACCCTTGTGAGATGCGACCCATGATGAAATGGCGAACACCCTGTGCAGCAGATAGTTTGACACTGATAATTCCGTGACTATCAGCACCTGTACGTCGTTCTGCTTTGTTTCGAGGTTGACAGCGTCTGAATAGTGCCTCCCTGCCAAGGCTGAGTCTTTCATTTTGGTCCACAGCAAATCTGGGAAGCATTGAAATCTAACACTTGGAGATCATCACAAATAATTATGATCAGGAATTGAACCCGAGACCTCTGATATGGAACAAGAACAATTGTCCCAGGGCACAAAGTTGAAATCTTATGATTTGGACGTGAATTTTAATCATGCAAGATAAATGCCTTACGAAACCCCGGTTTTGTCCGCACTGTCAACTCTCGTGATTCGTGGACTCACTGAAGCTTAGGAGAAAATTGCTTATAGACAGAAAGTAGATGAACTACAATAACTGTGACAGGTGTTCACTGCAACGATAATGTAAAGTGTGTGAGCTACGTAGAAAGCAGTAAATATTATCGTCAGATTTGAGAACCGTGTTCAAAATGGGACCGGTCGATTGCTTGGCCTATGAAGGTTGCGGCATATGTGCAATGCCGGACGAATTCACGTGTCAGCCAAGGAAAACCTATTGAAAAGAACGTTCTTCAATAAGGACGTGGACTCTGGACTGAACGTCAAAAAAGCTAGACTGATATTTGGTCCCCGATCAAAGACTTTGAAAAGTTCATAGTTCATGGACAGCCGTGTCCCTGTTGTGGCGCAATCGTTCCGGTGAGTCCACACCAAATAAAAGCACTGGACTCGAGTTTCGCTCTTATTGGAGCTCATCAGCAGTGCATATCCAATGGCCGTACCGGGATTTGAACCCCCAAATCTGACATGCGAGGCTAGAGTGTAACCACAACTCCACCAACGCACGTTGGACGCATGTGAATTTTCACGTCTGAACAGGCGAACGTGTTCACACTTGAGCGATGCGATTGGTGTGCCCGACTAATCGAACGGCGACCCAGTAACCGTCCCGGTTGTGACGATCGATTGACCCGTCAGTCAGGACTTCCCAGTCAGGTAGCGTGGCACACTCTTGAAACCCCACTGGGCAGATTTTTGGTTGCAATTTTAGGGTTTCGCAGGATAGGTATTTTTATTCATGTTCACACCACTCTCGTTTGAACGGCCGCGAAATTCGAGTCCAGTGCTTCCCCTCTTTGGTGTGGACTCACCGGAATAATTACACCAGAACAGGAACACGACCGTTCAAACGAGAGTGGTGTGGCTAAGAACAAAAATACCTATCCTGCAAAACCCCAAATTGCAACTTTGAAAAGTCTATTTTTAAAAAAATTGAAAGAGCTATTCATTCTTGGATTGGTTGGTGTGTAGGGTAACGTAGGAATCTGGAACTTGGAACGCGGGCTGGCACAATTACCATGGTTGTAATCAGAAAAATGCTAACTAACGCTAATAAAACGTAGATGCGAAACAGTGAAGAATCATTCTCGGCCCCATAACCAGTCGACAATGTTTGCAGGATGTTTCCAGTGCGATGCAATTTTCGAATCACTAGTCTAAACGTTCCTCTGTTAATGTGAACACGGCAAAGTTATTTGAACAACATGCTTTGGTCAAGAAATACACTAATTTGCAAATTGATTCGGTTTTCACGAGAGACTCAACTGAATCTCTCGTTTATGATACTCCAAACCAAACTGATTTGCAAATGAGTGTATTTCCCGAAAACAATCCACTTTGGGTTCAAGTAGAGCATGAGGTTGACGGAAACTTGATGAGCCCGAAACAGAAGGGCGAAACCGGTCAAAGTGGGCTATCGACGAGTTTCCAGCAACCTCATGAGTAGTTTCCTCTATGAAAACATGCCTTCCTGTTGGTGAGGCAAGGACGGAAACGTTGTCTGCGCGTTGCCCACTCAACCTCTCTGTGTCTGCACATGTGTGATAGAGAAGCACATGTGTGAAAAAAAAGATATCCTCTGTTGATGTTTTGCTCTCTGTGTCCCCTCTCATAGCCTAGATAGAATGCACACACGCGATTAGTTCTGATGAGCTGGGCAGATAACTGTGGCATGAGTTACTCTGCTAACAAATGTCACCAGGTACTTCCGTTATGGGAACAATCGAGAAAAGGATTGATTCACTGATTAGATCACCATGTTGCTCGTGTGATTGACACAAGTTGTTTGTAGCAAAATAACCGTTGGAGTTGGCAAAATCCATATTGAGTGCGTGTGTCTGACCTCGCGACGTTTGATCATATCTTACCAGGCAACTGTCGAGGGAAGATGGGTCATGGATTGTAGCCTAATAGGTGTGGAATACTCCAATAAGACGGAAAGCGGAAATTTTCAAGAACGATTGAAAGCTAGAAGAACTTATTTTGATGAAAACTTCCTTATATGTAATCCACTTGGGGAGAAGGGGCTGTATGGGAGGAATAGCGCCCTTCGGGTGTTGTTCGAAGGTTTGGGCAAAACGCTACTATTGATCTGCTCAACTTATCTTGTGCCCCACTTTGAATGCACCTCTGATGAATCTGGAAACCAGTGACAAGAGAAGAATTCAAAGCAGAAAAGCAAGCAACCATCAGTCAGTCAGGAACCGAGTTAAGTGGTCAGGTTCACAATGTAAAAAAAAACAAAAGTGACCGCAGCGCTAGAGGTAACGTAGATTTGCGATATTTTTGTTCGACTGTCATTCCATCTTCCTCATTTATCAGTCTGATTCAAATTTTGTGGTGGGTATAATTCATTTCTGGTGAGTTCACAAACAAACTTGATTCCCAAGTTTGGATGAGCATCGTGAATTTTCCAGAAGATATTTGGCGCACTGAATGATATACCTTGCCGAGTTCTAAATTACGATACAGGGATGTGTGATAAGTACGTGGTAAGTAGGAAAGGGAATGAGGCCGTCAGTGAGCTCACCACCTGCCCAATTAAACGGTTTAAGTTTGTGCACGTTCGATGGACAGGTTACAACGGCAGATGTCGTAGATAGCTTCGTTGTCAACCATGAAAGCGCAATCCGTGTGCTACAAAGTCGTGTGTGTGCTGTCAGGATTGAGTTGTAGGGCTTCGCAACAGCCGTCGCAATGTGTGGAGCTGGATAGATGGCAAACTCTAGCTCCGCCTTCTTCCCATAGTCAACGGAAAGTCGCTCCATCAGCAAAGAAGTGAAACGCGATCCGGTCCCACAGCCGAATGAGTGAAATATGAGAAAGCGCTGAAGATCTTGATATTGATCTGACAATTTCCGGACACGGTCTATTCCCGCGAGCAGCATCTTCCTTGCCGCTTATTATTTATTCGGGGTAGAACAACTGCCGATACGCCCCGATTCGTAGTTCACCAACTACTATCGGTTCCAAATCAACAAACACTGCACGAGGAACGTAACGACCAGATCCAGTATCGTTGAAGAACGTACTGAATGAATTGTCACCGGCCTGTCCAACACCAGCATTGGATGTAAGCCCGTCAGGTTGAATTCCGTGCTCTAAGCAGTAGAGCCTCCAGCACGCACTGCCCATTTGAGTACCGGCTTGGCCGACATGGGTGCTGATGCATTCACGCATTTACTGATAAGGGGTGACACCTAATGTCAATAGTTGAAAGCATCTTATTGACTCTGACTGATGCACTGACCAGCTCGATTACCTGCTTGAAGTCCTTCGTTGTCGACGCCTACTGAACATGCTTTTTTTCTGTCTTGGTAAGTCTCCTTCCTCTTTCTGTCTGGCCATACGTCCCCTTTAATGTTGTGTAAATTATTGTCGCTCTGATTACTGAAGCAATTTGAAAACGATGTTGTCTATCGGCCAAAACATCTGCGCGGATATAACGACTGGTTTGAGGTGGATTTTGAGTCGTCAGAATTTGGGTGGCATCCAATAAATTGATCCAACACAACACCACACTTTTGGTGAGTTTATCCAAACCACAACTGAAAAAAATGATGCGTTAACATAAAAACCAACAACGAAAATCTGTTGGCAAAAGAAACTACTTTGAGCTCTCAGTGAGCAAGAAATGTAACAGTAAATGTTATTTGGCATTTCAATATAAATAATGCACTCAAAAATGTACTTAAACAGTCATTTGAGACGACTAATGCTGAATTAGACCCCGTCTTTTGAGATCCGAATATGTTTTCGTGTTGGCATTGCCCGTCGTCAGCCGACCGTTGATCGGGGGGTTGCAACTCACCACAGATTGAACTATATTAAGATATATCTATTCGGCAAGATCATTTCGTATGTGATCAGCAGTAACATGCGGTGACGAAGGAAGGACCGAAAATTCTTTTGGACAAGTGTTGGTAACTCGGGAAAAACCTTGCGACATCAAAAAATGCACCTGACAAACATTTCGTTCGCTACAAATAAGGAATTTTTAATCCTTACCTGAAAGGCACTTCCCTATCGCGGCAAACTATGTATCATGTCGTGCATTTGTTGGCATACACGCACTTTTGTGAATCTGAGTGACAAGAGCAAGAAAGCGAGCGTCGCTTCTCGTTCCCTCCTGCAAATGCGCCGGAAGTGTGATTTTGAAAACCGATTAGAATTATTTTTACCTACTTCCGGGGAATAGGGTTTCAGCTGAGCGTGTTTTCACGCCAACAGTCATATGTGCACTTTCACCCAGTGAGAAAGAATGCAGGCAGTCCGGGCTGACTCCCCCACTTTCCATCTTGCCCTGGTGAGTAGAAAATATTTTGAGGAGATAGCGTTTTTGTTGAGTTTTTCATAGCTTTTTCGACCTAAGCTTCTGATAAGAGTAAAGGAAACTTATTTCTTGTGTCTTCTCAAGGGTTATGCACGAAAATGGTCCAGAAAGTATTTCCTTTGCACCTAGACTTTTGAGTCCTATTCACACATCCAGTGATGCACGAAAACAGCACAGGCTGTAGACGTAAACACTCAAGGTGTGCGACTGAAGTACGGGTGGGTGTAACGTCAGTTGCTTCCAACTTAGTTAAGCCTATATATGGTTCTTGTATGAAAGTTGTCGTTTTTGCCGAAAATGTTCTATCTTTCTTCAAAATGTTATAATTCTGAATTGTTTTGCAAAAAATGTCTCAACTGTGACACCTTCCCGGTGCTTAGCTGCCAGGTTGCCCAAGCCTTGACAGGGGAAGTCGAGAGGTAGAGGTCGAGTTCGAACCACGGACCTTCTAGTCAGTAAATTCGCGATCTAACCACTTGAGCTGTTTCGCCCAACGAACTCTTTTAAGGGGAGAACCCAGATAACTATAGCTGTGTGTTACTGAAGTTAGTGGATGATCCAGGATTGGGCAGAAATAAAGTACCAATCACCAGCCTGTATGGAACAACATAGCAAGTCAACAGGAGACCAAAAGTTATACTTATGCGGAATGAATATTTGTTTGTACAGCAATAGTCAAACTCAAATGAATTGTAGCTCATGTGGAACTAATCAAGTCAGACCTCGGGATTCGAGAATACATCAATTCATTTTTAAGTTTTTGCCAATTCAGTCAGCAGTGTGCATGTAAATAAGGTTACTTCTTTACGGCGCCTAGGCCAGTGTTAGTTGAAAGAATATTTTATCTCTAGAATACACTGTTAGGAGCAATATGTTCTGTTAAATTTTGTGCAGTATTATAAAACCAGGTATGTTTAAGAGATCACAAATTGATGACCTACAACGGGATGACGCGGTGTTCCCACGGTATTGATCTACGGAACACATTTTTATACGGTTCACGTGATAAACTGAGTAAATTTCAAACGCTGTTGTCTAAAGCCTTGCGAAAATAATTTGATATAAATGAGTGTATAGTCCGACCGACAAATGAGTTTGAGGCTGAATGAACGTGCTAACTTTTGGCAAACCAGTCAAATAATTCCCGAAAAGTAGACAAAACGTTTCAGCCTATTCAAGTACATCACCGAAAAACCTCTCGTTTGCATATACAATACGTGGGGGCGAGATTGACCAAGTGGTTAGAGCGCGAATTTACTGATCGGAAGGTCCGTGGTTCGAACCCGACCTCTGCCTCTCGACTTCCCCTGTCAAGGCTTGGGCAACCTGGCAGCTAAGCACCGGGAAGGTGTCACAGTTGAGACATTTTTTGCAAAACAATTCAGAATTATAACATTTTGAAGAAAGATAGAACATTTTCGGCAAAAACGACAACTTTCATACAAGAACCATATATAGGCGATTTTTTTATATGCAATACGTATAGTTTCACTAAAGACCAAGGTACCAGCCACACTGTATTAAGGACCATACAACAGATTTTATAATTGTAGTCATTCGTTACAAAACTCTGCAGTTTAAAAAAATATTTTGCCACCTCCTAACGTTTGACCAATCCACTTCGCCAAATTTTTCAATATTTCATTGTGTTAGAGTATGTCTTTGGATAACAACATTGCTGGGGTGAAACACTTGAAACGTTGGCTCCAAGATTAATACACACACACCCTGTGTGGTTAGAACACCTCCCGTCGTGTTAGCTCTTAATCACAATGGGCCTGCAAAGCACTGTCATGTTACGTTCCGGACAGTCTATAATTACTGAATTTTAGGCCCCATGTTTTCTGGTCTAACTGGTATGTGGTTCTACTCAGGTGATGGGACATGTGTATTGTGTCTTCTCCCAGACCCACCATGGCAACCGGGAGTGTGTTGACATCCCACATTTACCAGTTTTCTAGAGGTTTCTTGGTAACCTGACAAACACGGAAGAGCTGAAAAGTGATGAATTTTCTTTCATAACGTATACATTTTTGGTTGCTAGGGCAGATGCCCCAGAACCTACGAAGTTTGAAATATCTCGTTTTACATTACTTTCAAAAATGAGTTATTCCCTGTAGTGTTCGAAAGCCATCACCTTTGCGCCTACACAGAAATGACCGTCAGGAAACGATAACTGATCATTAGGGAGAAAAGAGGCTAAGAATCAAGAAAACTAAATCCACGAGTTTTCCGGGGCCGCCCACCTACCGATCTACACGCATCATTGTAGGGTCGAATTAAACGCGGTAAAACGTAGTACGCAATTTGCTGGTTAAAAAAGGTGAGTCTGATGAGCATGAAAGCTTACGTGATGATCAGAGGAAATAAGTAGTAAACTGGAAGTGGTGGAATAATAAATTGTCTGAGCAGAACAGCCTGTGAAGAATGTACTTCGGGCCTGTCCGGGAAAGGATAATGGTCATGACAGAATCCGAAGGTGTGTAAAGAAACTCGGGGACTGCGCCTACCTGATGAGCTCGAAACAGAAGACCGAAACCGGTCGTGGGCTGTCAAAGGGTTTTCAGCAACCTTGTGAGTAGTTTCCTTCATGAAAAGTGTCTTTTTAGTTTATCAGTGTGAAACAAACGCCCAGGAAAAAACAGTGCTTAGATAGACACAAGAACCATTCACTCGATCATGTCTCAATGCCGATCCCTCGGCCAAAGGTGCTCTGTTTCACCGGGAGAAATCTTCGACAATTTGTCGATTCAGGTCAAAGATGGCACTGAGGCTGGCTTTATCGTGAAAGACTTGGGCCAGCCTTGTCCAATGCCCCCAAATTTGATTCTGTTCAGATCTTTTTAGACCGCCTGTTTAGCGTTCGTTCGCACTGGTGGCTCAGCGCGATGTGCGTCTAGCCTCAGTAACAATTCAAACAATTATGCAGGAGGCACAATATCAATCGTTCGACAGGTTTCGTATGCATTTCCGTGATTCTTAGCTGCACCAGGTATGCGTTGATTTTCTATTCCTTATTCGGTATGATGACAAGAGATAGACGAACAAAATGACGTCAAACTACACGAGCTCTCATAACCGGTACGATGTGTCAGTATGTTCCAAAAACGGATTACAGCAGGGTCAGAAACCATGGCCGTTTCTTCTTGCGTTCGCCTATAGTGATTTTCCAAACGAATGTACAGACGAGAACACAAACTCCTCCGGGAAGTCCTGAAGCGGTTACCCACGAATCAACAAGGCTTAGCTCAATTCCCACCGTCTCCTGAGGCCACTGACCACAAATTAATTTGGTCAGGAAGACTTCATGATTACGAGAGCACCCCCACTGACGAATGCAACTGGACACAAAAACAATGGCTTTGGCTAAAAATAGGAAGGGATTGCTTAAACGAGACGGAAACGATGGTTCTTATCCTGCGCAAAGTCATAAGGGTTCCCGGTAGAAGGACAGTGACAGCAAACTTTTACATTCTCTCCTCCTTGCACTCACTTAACTTCGGATGACCGAGTTGGCGCCTAATGCAATCAGGTAATTCCCCCTCTATTCGTCCACACTTTTGTAGCCTATACCATACTCACGATGCATCGTGGGATCGTTTCTCTACCCACATACACTGAGGTGATAAGTCCCCCTCGCACCTAGCGTAGATCAGCCGACTGCCTATTGCAGTCTGCGGCGGGGGGATACGAACTTTCAACTGAAGCTTTGTTGTTACCCTGAAAGGTCACTGAAAGCCTGCTTTAGCATTGCTGCGTTTGTTTGGACAACAAGCAGTGTTTAGGGAATAAAACAAAATGCAAACTTTGACATCACTGAGGGTGACAGTTGTTCCCTTCAGTTCACCGAACTATTACATGGAAACCGTAAATAGCTTTCCGGTTACGTTGATGCCGTTTGAATGCTCTTCGTTGTAAACCTGTACTACAAAGTGAGTTCCTGCGCACATTCTTCTTAGACTGCTCAATAGAAAGGTCGGGAAGAGTCCTGCTACTTGGGTGGATGAAATAATGCATACGCTTTCGTTCATGATCGTGTTCTAGGTAAACTTATCGTGGTCCACAGCCAAACCGGTAGTCTGGATTCAGTAGGGTTAAGAGCTTGATCAACTCTAGCAATGGACACGGCACCAATCTTTATATCACCAGTGCAATAGACAAAGTTGGTCTACTGTGTTGTTCACTGCATCAAGGGTCTTCCACAAATAATAGACGTCAGCTTTTGTTTCGAGGTCTAATTAACATTCTGACTGAGGACTAAAAATGAAGCGTTGTGGTAGTCCATGATTATGACCCATTTCATAGTGAATTGCGAAGCACCTTCGATTAGCCGCGATACGATTGTGGTATGCTCTTGCATCTGGCTGTCTACTCAGCGACTTTAAGTCCCATCGAAAATATCTAGAACATGATGAAAAAAATCAGCAAGACAATCATGCAACAGAATTCGATAAATACACTCATGTGCAAATCAATTTGATTTTCACGAGACTCAACTGAATCTCTCATTTATGATATTCTACAACTGAATATGCTGCACACAGGCCACCTCATGTTTCAGTTGGCACGATATTCGAGATATCGTGGGTTGTCGAAGGGTCTTTAGCAACCTGGTGAGTAGCTTTCTCTATGAAAATATACTGCAATATCTCGTGCCAACTGGAACATGAGACGGCCTGTGTGCAGCATATTCAGTTGTAGAATATCATGAGGAGATTCTGTTGAGTCACTTTCGTGAAAAACAAATTGATTTGCAAATGAGTGTAGTTCTCGAGGAACACGACATCTTTGTTACTAACAAATAAGTGCAAAAACAATCAGGAGCATTCGCAGTATTCAAATTGAACTTTAAATTTGAATACAGCATGCCGACCGCTGTCACTCATCATTACCGGCCGTGCCCCATGACATGCCTGAACGCTCATCACCGTCAGTCGTTGCTGAACTGATTGGCTGCTTGAGCATCCAATCAGAGGCTGGTTCTCTACCCATATACACTGAGGTGGCTGCTTGAGCATCCAATCAGAGGCTGGATTCGCTCGCCCGGACGCTTGACTCTTTCACCGCTTCACTTTTGGTGGAGTTCGGGGCTTTCAGTAGGCTTTGAGCATTCTGGTATTGTTTTCAGGAGCCTGACCTCCCCGAGAGTATCCAAATAACAGTCTAAAGGATTCATGGTTAACCACTAGAGCTGAGAACAAGTCTATCCGATTGTAACATACTTGTGACTGTCAGAAAAATTAGTGCGACGAACTAGACATTAGTCTTCCGGATCGAGGTGTTTTTTGTGCACCGGAGTGTGCTTATACAAAATTCCAGGCTCAGCAGTACATCTAGCTAAGAGTAGTGTGCATGCGAAGGCATATCAGAGTTCCTCGGTGGGGGATTTGATCAGTGAGCGAAATCTGTCTATGCTGAAAAGCCGAGGAGCACTGAAAGTTATCATCACTGGATATCTCACTAAGATTTCCAGGAATTTAGAATCGAAAACTTCTAGCTAGTAGTTTAAAACTTGAGTGACCGTGGGTAGTTGATCAGCACTGTGATTAACTCACACTTGGGCGGTTTTTTACTTGCAAATCAAATATTCCATTTGTTATTATTGTGGCTACGTTTATCCATTTTGATTACAATGGACTGCAAATATAAAAGCGCCCGCAAATTGCAAATACTCCGGAATTAATTCACTTTAAGAGAAAATGCAATTTCGCCCACTTTGTTTACGCCAAAATCGTGATGAACGCTCAGAACGTTCAGGACTAGTTCAGGTATTTAGGTGTTTCACCAATTAGGCTAGGGTGAATCACATCGAAATTCCGTTGTAGAATCCCGCTGTGTTGCAATCTCTTTGCGTTTCGAACACGGCATGAATGCAGTTTCTACACAAAATGTTTTCGGCCAGGTGCAAAAGGCACACTGTTGAATCGCTCTCAGCACTTGGTGCAGCTCTAACACCTAATTAATAGTAGTATAAATAAATATCGTTATATATCACGACCCAACACAACAATTACAAAGGCATGCGCCGCACACACTTAGTCGTGTAAGCCACCATCTGTCAACACCTTCTAATTTCAAGTTGATACCACAGTACGACACTTTACAGATGTTCTCTGGAGCCATTCTTTAGCGCACCATCCAGTTTGTACGGGATAGCCAGGTTGCGTTTATGTGCATACGCAAACGTGTACATGCATCATTACCAACTATCGAAATTTATCAGGGTATCGCTTTTTTGCATTTTCTATGAAGTTCGCACTTGAACTGACGTGGACTTTCGCCTCATGCGACACGTATCTAAGCTGTTGAGGAGTGGTTCGGATTTTGCCGTAGGCTTCGATGCGAACGGTTACATTCCAACGAAACATAGGAATAGTGACATCATCCATTTTGGTCCGCTTTGCTAATATCTACTTGAACCACATGAGGAGCATTAGGACTTTTATCCCGCCGTACTTCATATCTGGTAAGTTTGGTTGGTTACCTGAAGCCAGAAACCGAACACGACCGTGTTGCTTGATTTTTCCCTTCAGTATCCATACTCTGTTTCAATAAGTCATGTTCATGCCAATCAACGCAGCAACACACTGTCCAGATGTTTGGTACTGACACCTAAAATTTTGGTCTAATTCAGCGCTTCATTTTCACCAACTGGCCAATCAACTTCTGTCAGCAAAGAGAGAACAGAGTACATTGCGCCCACACTGTTTGACGGGAAACTTGTTTACTTGTTGTTGGCAGCTTCTTTTTGGTGTCCTTGGCTCCGAAATCGACTGTAGCTTGTCTTCAACTTTATGGATACTATTCAGTTGCTCTGCTCTCACTCACTTCTGACAAACAGAAGCTAGAACGCGCTGGTCTCTCCCACTAATAACGGGATGAGATATGTTGAGTATCACCCTTGATTTTGACACTTGTTACTTTCTAGATAGTTACCCGAGAAAATGTATAGACATAGGTAGATTAGAGCATAGCTAAAGTATTAGCATTATTATTTATTTTTATGTACATACTATTATTTTGGTGCTTACTTTGTAGTACATGTTCTAAACACGCATCGGTACTCAGCATCTGCTTGCGCTATGTGTTTGCACTTTGATAGAATGCACATCACCCTTGCGGTTTCCTGGCTGCTGTTAAAACGGAGCGGTAAGATTCGGTCTTCAAAGTATACACCTATTTGCGCATCTTTCAGAACAAAATTTTGGAAAAACGAGCGTACAGGTGCCTCAACTCTTCACTCTTGTGTTATCAAATGTTTGTGTGCACAGCTTCTAAACGCACGTAGTCCCCTTGCAGGTCGGAAATCCGGAGTTCGAACCCAGGCACAACAAAGGTGTGGTACTACATTAAGAGCGCAACTCGAGTCTAGTGTTACTCTCCTTCGATGTGGACTCACCAAGGTGTTTGTGCCAAGACAATGGGATGACTGTTCGAACCTGCGCGTGAATTCTACAAATCTCGCAATCACCTAATAAAAACCTCGAGGCTCATCACTTGACAACTGCTAGTTCCTTGGCAATTTCCAATGGCTATTTGGCCGAAGTGGTTCGCTCGTTAAATTTTCACATGTAATCCAAGCTACTCAGCAATCCAAGTATGTCGCCGATTCACAATTCCGGGGTTGACTGTCTCAAACTGTTGTTTACACTCGAGAAATATACTCATTTGCAAATCAATTTGGTTTTCACGGGAGACTCAATTGAATCTCTCGTTTATGATGTCCTCCAGCTGGATGTGCTGCACACAGGCCGCCTCATGATTCAGTTGGCACGATATTC